ATTCAAATTTTACAACAATAATATACAGTATATATATTTAAGGGTATATTCAATAATACAAAATATATAATCATTTATTTTATATTATTTTTGGTTGATTGTCTAATAAACCTAATAATTGTTGTTAAATATTAAATTATATGAATATTTTTAAGAAAAATATTTTTGTTTTGTCTAAAATAATTTGCATTTACTTTTTTGTGCAACAATTTTATATGCAGTTTACATCATAATATTAATACCAACAAAAAAATATATTTATAAATAAATAAATAAAAAATTTATGTCAGAATTAATTTATGTCTAAAAATAAAATCTAAAATAATAATAATTTTTAATAATAATAATAATAACTGTTGTTTTTATATTAAAAGCTATTATTATTTTGAACATAATTTTTTAAAAAAATGTTTTTTATTTGTTTAGTTAAATAAATGAGAAAAAATATTGTCACATATTTTATTCATATATATATGTTATTATTATTATTATTATTAAAACACACACACAAAAAACAACAAAAATATAATAAATGTCACAATTTATTATAGTTTTAAATTATACAGTAATATACATAAAATTATTGTATATGTTATATAACATTATATATATATATATATATTAAAACATAAATTAACTTTAATTTTTAAAAAGTATTTTTAATGCATAAAAATGTATTATATATTATGTGTTATTTAATCTATATATATATATATATATATATATATATATATATATATATATCTTTTTTTATATATATATATCTAAAAAATTAAGACAAATTGAACCCGGTAAATTTTCATTAAATTCACACACAAAAATACTTGTTAGATATATATATATATCTATATATAACGTAATAATAAAATAATAAAAACTATTTCATGAATTAGTGAACATTTTGTTGTTGTTGTTGTTGTTGTTGTAAGTTATTTCATAATTAACATATAATGCAAAAACACACAGTTATAAATAGTTTAATATAAATTTGTCAAAAAACTATAAAAAAATTTGTTTTTATTATTAGACATCATCATCACAAACACAACATTAATAAATTTAATATTATTATTATTATTAACGTATGTATAAATATTTTATATATTTATATTATATTTATATTTATATATATTTAACAACAAAAAATCTAATTTAATGGTTAAATATTCTTTACACAGAATATTTTGTATTATTATTATTATTATTAAAACCAATAAACTATTATAACGTTTAGACTATTCGTGTTATTATTATTATATAATGTTATATATATATATATAAGTTAAAGATTATAAACACTAACACACATACATACATATGCTTACATACATACACAGACACACATACATACACACACACACATATACATACATACATACATACACACACACACACACACATACATACACACACACACACACACACACACACACACACATACATACATACATACATACATACACACACACACACATACCCACACATACACACACATACACACACACATACACACACACATATACACACACATACACACGCACATACACACACACATACACATACATACATACATACATACATACACACACACACACATACCCACACATACACACACATACACACACACATACACACACACATATACACACACATACACACGCACATACACACACACATACACACACATATACACACACATACATACACACACACACACACATACATACATACATACATATACACAAATATATACAATACTTATGTATAGTATTTTCAATATACCTTATAAATCATTCAAATAAATCATGTTTTTTTCTCACTAAATATTACAGTATTATTATTATTAATATTATTATTACAGTATTATTGAAGTACTATTACTATTTGTATTGTTAAAGTCATTGCCAGTAACAGCAAACTGCCAGCCCTTTCATACTAAACATTTGTTTTCCTATTTTTTTTAATATTTATTTTAAGAGTCCGCTTATGTATCACATCCGTGAGCTCTCTCTCTCTCTCTCTCTCTCTCTCTCTCTCTCTCTCTCTCTCTAATATTGCTCACTCACTCACTCACTCACTTTAATCAACACATTTAGCACTCGACTATAGTTTTTTATTGTTTGATCTATAAATCTATAGGAAACACAAAATTATTGTTAACTATTATATATATATAGTATATGATGTGTACTATACTATAATGTCTATGTTATAGTAAATTATATATAATATAAATGATATATAAAAAAAATTTTATGCCACAAAAAAATTTGATTGTGTAGTTTGAAACACATAATAGTATTAGAGTTATATATATATATATATATTTGAAAATAAATTTCCAGGAATTCCCAGAAATACTTAAATTTTTATTTTTTTGTGCTTTTTTTCTTATATAACATAATAAAAAAAACTTAACGATTTTTGTTTTCCTCTAAATTTATATATATATATATATATATATATATATATTGGTTGACAATATTGTATTATATGATAGTTAACTAATAGCTGTATTAGAGGACCACTTTATCTATACACTTATAAATTGAGCGATAAATATATATATATATATATATATATATATATAACAATTTAGTTTATTTTAATAGTATAATACATACTATTAGTCCTAAATAATCGTTTAAATAAAAATACTAAAAAATAAATTTTTTGATTTTTTCATATCATATATAAAGTTATATTATATAATATACGTATCACTTTTAAACATATAAATGCTATTTCACTGTATATATTAATTATATATACTGTATATATTGTATATATATATCAATATATTTGGGCCCACTTTAGATAACACAAAATAATACTAATATTAATAATAATAATAATAAAATAAATATTGTAAAACAAATTTCACTAGAAAAATGTTATCAATTAATAACACTATGATTTTCAAGTGTTATACTTATATAACAAATAAATAATAATAATAATAATAAAATATAATTTTTATGATAATAATATATTTAGTTTAATAGCAGTAATATATTATAATAATTGCAAACAAGCTTTTTATTATTATTATTATTATAGTATTTAATACTAGAAATGTTTAATTACAGGCAATTAATTTCAATTAATTTCAGACATATATATATATATATTATTTATTTATTTATATTTATATAACACATTTATATATCATATATATATATTAATGTTCACAGCATAGCCTAATAATATTAATATCTAATTTTCAAACACATAAATGTTTTATGATTATTATAATATATTTTTATTATAATATCTACAATATATATATATATAAATTATTTAAATGCAGTTTGCGATTTGATAATTATTATAATATCAATTATATTTTAAATACATTAAATACAATAAACGTATGAATAAATAAATTAATATATAGTTTATGTTAATAATTGGTATAATACCTAAAATATTATACCAAAAATAATAATAATAATAATAATAATAATAATAATAATAACTCAATAGTATTTTTACATTAATCATAGTATTTATAAGTCAATTAATTTAATATGCAATTTAATAATCGTTATTATTTTAAACTGTAAATATTTATTAATATCATATATTTATCAATAAATTATTTTTAAAAAAAATTAGTATTAAATTATTACTACTTAAATATATTACAGTATTGTTTAAATAATATTATTATTATTATAAATAATTAATTCATTAAACATTTTTGTAAATAGACTAACAATTAGTACAAAAATTTCCGCTTAATTTTTTTGGTGGGTATTATACCGTATAATAATAATAATAGTATATTAATAAATAATTATTATTGTTATAAATAATTAATTAATTCATTAAATATTTTTCTAAATAGACAAACAATTAATACAAAAATTTCCGCTTATTTTTTTTTGGTGGGTATTATACCGTATAATAATAATAGTAATAGTATATTAATAAATAGTTATTATTATTATTATTATTATTACTAGTATTTTATAATTAATATTTAATAATACAGTAAATACTTTTAATACACACAATATACTGTATATATTTATATATAAATAAATTTAATTTTAAACATAAAAAGCATTTAGATTTTTATTTAACAAAATAAAAACATTAGATGATATATCCTAAATACTAGCATATTATTATTTGTATACCAAAAAAAACAACAAACAAATAGATAGATAGATAAATCAAATTTATACCAACAACAAAAAAAAAATAAAATTAAAGTAAGAGTAAGTCATCCATCAAATTATTAAGTGATAACTGGGCGACGACAATGTGTCGACACCTAAAATACCAGTCCTTTAATAGACATTATCAACAACAAAACAAAACAACCATTACTAACATCCAGTATATATAATGTATTGTTGTATATAATATCTAATTTTTTTTATATATATATTTATATAATATAATAATAATATAAACAGTATATAACAAAAACCCCTATCAACTAGAGATGGGCAAATAGAAAGTTTCTAATAAATTTCCATGAGAAAGTTTCTAGAAAGTTTTTCAGGAATAAATTTCTATAGAAATTTAACTTTTTTGTTATACTATGGGATCCCCATATCTATAGATATTGTAAAACTATAAATATATTAATGAGACATAATACTATACATATAATATTATACTATATAATGTAGATTACTGTATATTACTATATTATACAAATGGGATACCTATATAAATAATTATAATTATTTAATAATAATCAGTTTTGTAAAATTTTATTCACCATTTTATTATATCATAGTTCATCAGTCACCATTAAATAAATAATTTTTTTACTTTAATTAATAATTAAAATACTGATACTAATATTTAAATATTACTTATAAAAACAATGTTAAAGATAACAAATATCGAGAAAACAAAATTAACCATGGGGATCCCATAAATAGAAATTTCTTTTAGAAACTTTCTAGAAATTTCTCTATTATTTTATAAATTTCTCTTTTTTGCCAACACTACTATCAACACAACACATATTATCAAAT